TGGCCAGGCCCCTGTCGGCCCTGGGGGAGGTTCGCACAGCGGCTGAGGGGCCAGCACAGGCCCCACCGACACGCAGGAGGCACGACGGAGCGTTTGTGAAAGAGCAAGGTGAACGCTGGCCATTAAGCAAAAGCATGAGATGGGCACGAGTGGATGGTAAGGTAGTGAGCGCGCTGAAACTTCACCCAGTAGTCGTCTTGCAAAGGAAACGCAGCTTGTCCTGGTTAACGTGGTAGGGGCTGTTACCAAGTAAAGAGAGGGGTATTACAAGAAAACATGCTTCTGGGTTGGGTTTGGTTGTTTTTAATTCAAGTCATATATAAGCTAATAACCCTGTTTTAATATGGTCCCACCAAAAAGCATGAAAGTAACTTGAAGGAATCTTTGCATTTCAAAATAAAAACAAAAATCTAAAGTCAATGTGACATCTTTGCAAGAAGGCTCTAGTACAACCGTGACTCATTTGTGGCATAAAGGCAATTTCGAACTTGAAACTTACCTTGCTGTCTGTGATATTTGAAGAGTAATCCACAATTGCTTTTAAAAATGCATAACCTAATTGGGTTACTAACATCAAGGAAATGCTGATACATGTAATCATTCTAAATATAAAAAAAGGAAAATCTATTGAGAGACCATATAATTCTGCATGTTTTTAAATCAGATGTTGTATTTCACTATTTGGCTACGCTACAGGAAGAGCCATAGGAAAATGAAGTGGCACAAAAGCATTGCACAGAAAAGTTAGGTTTTCCATGACCATTTTGACATAAATACTGAGTTTCAGTAGGTCATATGCATATGAAGTGCATTTAAAAGAAGCCAGATTTAGACCAAAAGTGATGCCTAACCATTAACCAAACAGAAAAAAACCCCACCACCCAAGCATGGACATACAGCTGTACCAGACCATTCTCTGTTTCTATTATTGGTATCAGTTTGATCTATGATGAAATGTCTATTAACAATATCTTGCACCGCTCACACTGCATGGCTGCATACCAATTTGTAAGTCTGCATGTACCACAGCCTAAATTCCTGCACAGGAAAATGTACAGAATTTGAAACAGTGTGAGCCTATTGTGACATAAAAGCCATAAGCTTCCAGTTTTAAGTGTATTGCCTTTGTAAACTACTACTCTTGCAAGCAGCCACCTAGCAACTCCATTTATAAAAACATGAAAGGTCTAATGCTTCCCTCTCAGTAACTGGAAGGCATTTGCAGTAAGAAATATGAATTCAGTAACTAAACTTACTATTCAGGGCCTTCCCCCTGCCCACATTTAGGGTCAGAATCATCCAGCTAGATGGTTAAACAGAAGCCTGCACTAAAGAGAATGGAGGAAGCAAATGCCCCAAATTAGAAAGACCAAATCAGTATGTGAACAGGTTAAATCATTTTAAGAACAAAAAAGTCTCTTATCAAATTAATGGTAATACCAGAATGTATCATTCTTGGTAATGGATCTTACTTGTTCATGGTTTACCATTTCTTTTCAGTCCAGATCAACAACTAGTATATCCAGTTCTGTTGTATAAATATTGGTATTTTTTCCCCCTCTATACACTACGTGTAACTTTTGAAGCACATTTCCATCACAGAATGCATCATCCTACGGCATGCTGCACTGAATACCCAGTAGCAACACACAGGCTTTGCTCATGGATCTCATTCTCAGTATACTCTTAATCTGTGCATTCACTAACTTAACATGCGGAGTGTGTATTAAATCGCATGTGCAGACAGTAAAATGTTGTAATGTCAGCAAAAATGGCTTTCTCTACCCCAAATTTTCCAAGTTTAGCTTGAAATGATTCTGTTACTGCATTTTGAAAGAAAAACAGTTAACAAAGGAAAGTTACTTTCTATACAGAGAACCTCTCAGCAGTATGTAATTTGTGTCCTACCACCCAGCATCGCAGACACAAAATATCTGTTATCACTGAGAAGTAATAACACTAATTTGAGTAAGAGGTAAACACTAGAAGTGACTTTATAAAGGAACATTTTGCATTCTGAAGAGGAAAATTTGTTGAAGTACTTGCATAAGCCAAGGCAGAGATAGAATGCTAGAGTGACCATTCCTTCCTCCTTCCACTAGTGAAGAAAACCTCAACTTCCACAAAATTGATTTTTTAATATATTACAACTGCTTCTAAATACTTATTTACCTGGATATTTAACACTCCAGCTTAACTTTTAGATGTCTTCCTCACCCAGACGCCTTCAGTCTCCTTCAGAAAGGAGGAGTACAAGCTTATGTCCAATGCATAAATAATAGAATAGATGAATATACAGCTTTAGTTTAGGGCAGAAGAAAATAAGCTGAAGTTTCACAACTTGAGCTTTCACTGAAGAATCTCAACAAGGACATTAGGCAATCTGTCACACAGTGGCATTACAATGCATGTGTTGCATTTGGCTTAACTACTAAGAATGACAGCGAGAATGCCATATTAGCAGGACGAAAAACTCATGAAGTTCACTCTCCCTTTTCTCTGTATTTACTACAAACAGAGCAAGTTTTGAATTTATTTAGAATTTGGAGAATTTTTGTAAATGCTGATGCAAAAATGTACAGGGAGAATGGAGAAGTAACTTCTTAGGGTAACATCAAGTTGCAGGAAAAAAAAAGGAAGGTTGCAGCATGGAAGTATGTAAAACAAAACAAACATTCTCACACAAACTCAAGCACAACATAAAAACATCTGAGCATTACACTTCAAGTTAAAAAAAGAACATTTTGTGGTGTGTATTACAGGGATGAGAAAGAACATATTTGGATCACATCTGCATTTGAAGGCTTCTAGTCACCTGACAAAGCAGGACATAGTTTTAAAAAAACCCACCCCTAATTTGTGAACAGTCATTGATTCAGAAAGCAGTGTTAAATATAATCGCATGCTGCACAAGACTCCAAAAGAATGTCAGCCCTTAAATCAAATATATACATTTTTAATATCTGAAATATTTACATGGTGGAACCTTTACACGATCCCATTTGTTAAGAACAGTGTTTTCAAGTTTCCTCTCCAGATACAAAGAACTGGTAACTCAAGGTCACAGTTATGTTTTCTGAACAGGTCAACCTGTATCCTTCAGTTAAATACAATATAGAGATACTGGAACACCTTTACTTAATTTGTTTGCTAATAAGAATCGTGTTTAAAAATTAAAAATGTTTTTGAGACAGTTTGCTCCCTGGAACACAGTCCTCCTGCAATCAAAACAGCTCGTAGCACATTATCGATTTGTTTTCTTACTCAGGTATGAGATAAAAAATGCAGTTTACAGTACATCTCATCATTTATACCATATCAGCCTATTTATAAAAATCCATACAAACAAGGCAGGAAAATATCACCCTCTTTTTGTGGACAATAGACTGCTTACAGTAGACAACAGAAGTCGGGACTCGTTTAACAGTATGGATAAAAACAAGATTTTGGCTTTGTTTGAAAACTTAGGGTTTAGTTTTTGTCAACTGCTATGGTCAGTTATATCCAAAATGGTATTTTCCTAAATACTAAAAAAATGCTTTTAAAAATAATTCCTTTAAAAAAAAAATCCATCTGATTATTTTGGAGACAGAAGGGATAATAGGGAAGGGGTAAAACGAAATTCAGCAGAAGGTATCCTAGGTTGTTTAAAAAAAAATCTCATTAAATAGCACTCACTGAATTGAGGTCCTGCTCTTGTTTTAACTGAGCAAAGAATAAAAAACTTCCTGCAATTTGCACTTTGTAGGAAAGAAGCAGAACTTCTGCAAGAGATTAAGTTCCCAGCTTCATTAATATTTCTAAATGGGCAACAAAGTACCAGGAGTACTGCTGGTTCACATCAGAATGGAAAGTCTGAGGGAACTGCTTTTCCAGAGTCAGATGAGGGGACCAAATGAACACACAAAGCTGTTCTGTGAAAGCAGCTCAAGCCACTTATTTTTAAATTGTAATCTGATCATTCCTTAAATAAAGAGGGAGAGTATGCAAAAAAAAAAAAAGCGCTGATAAATTTGCAGTAAAATCAGTTGTCTTCATCTGTAACTGATATAGTTCCACATTAAGTGCAAATGTTTTGCAAAACAGGGGCTTTTTTTTCTTTTCTTAATATTTACAAGAATCAGAGTAACATAACAAAATTACCAGAGAGTGTGTACAGTAGCTGCAGCTTATAAAACATACCGGTAATTGTACCTTGTGAATTATAAAGAGAATCAATGCAGGATTCAGATAACTAACTGAGAAGGGTAAAAGGGGCCTCAGAGTGGAGGACAAAAAAATTCACATTTTCTACATAAAAAAATACAGGTCTCAAGTCTCTGAGAACAGAGAAAATTCAAAGTCTTTGAATAATGGGGAAAAAAAAAGCCCGAAATTGAAATGGAACCCTAGAAGCAAGGAGAGTGCTTTATTTCACTAGACCAATCTTCTTTGCTTCTGTCTCGTATATCAACAACCTCCACATTTTGACTATGAAAACTTCAGCTTCTTCATCTAGTACCTGTAGGAAATACACATTTTATAGATTATTTTTAGGTTAGGCATTCCAGTTACAAAGACTAATTCTAGACACATCAGAACTACAAAGTGGGGGTAGTACAATCCAAGTTAAGCCTTTGAGTGAGGCACCAGATAAAACTTCAGTGAATTTGTCTGTCCTGCATTTGTGACCTGACTTGACTAGGCTCTCGTTACATACTTGTATAATGCAGCTGTTGAGCACAAAGAGATAAAAGTACCAGTATCTTAGTCTCCAAAAGTGGCTTGGGAAGAGGCAGAGAAACAGCAGGCTTGGGAAGAATGTAAGAACACAACATACACATGTGGTATTTTCCCTTAATTCTCTCCTAGTCTCTGCTCATTTTCAGCTTGGAACTTCCTTGGATATTTATTAAGTAATTCCGCAATGGATTTCTGTTCCCTGAGCTTATTATCCAGGCTTTTCTTGACTCTATGCAAACTTTCAGCATGCACAACATCTCTGAGGAAGTTCACCAGGTGACCTACTAGTCACACCAAGAACAACCTACTAAATTCTGCTATGCAACTGGCTCCTACCAATTCTGCCTCCAAGTTTTCTTACTGGAAGAGAGTGAACAATTAGTTTTTATTTACCTTTCAGTGTATGCAAACATGGTGAAACAGTAGCATTATTTCATAAAGTTTCTCTCTTCCAACACCAGCCAAAAAAGAGCTTTTGCTCTTCTAGAGAAACATCACTTTTTTTTTTTTCATTAATTAGGAATAGATTAAACCAGTAATTATAAAAATCTAGAGAAGGAATAAAAGTTTATATTTCTGATACAGTTCTGTTATTGTTGATTTTTACCTCTACTGTTAGGGACAGAATCTTCCGCATTTCTGAATACTGAGAAATTCTGAACAGGAATCAGTAATTTCTACCTACATGCTGTAACTGCAACACCATGCCTGTGCTAGCATGATCTGTTTAATCAAAACAGCTTTCATATCTAATGCACATTTTCTATGCATGTTCTATGAAGGCTAAATATTTCTGTTATGGACTCCTATTTCACACAATTGACTATTAGCTTCAGTATAATGTAGAAGATGTATCAGTGACACAATTTCTGCTTACCATGGCAACATCATCCAGTATGCTCTGTGGTGAGCTGTGAGCCATAACCTGAAAGAAACAAATGGTTTTAGACTGAAAACTCAGAGTAAACCATGCAGACATCTTTGGACAAAACCCAGTTACTTCAAGGATTTTGAATGCTTTCCACATACAAAAAAAGTATTTCCAGTTCATTAGTTCCCAGTATTAGCCAGGGTTAGTATTAACCAACATCAGATTCCATGACAGTGAGTGCTAGTTTACAGCTAGTTACTGAGATACAAATTTCAGGAAACTCCAGAGATTTAACAGGTCTTGTATTTGCTGTCTATTCTTACATCTCCAAATAAGCTCTCCTAATTTAAGGAATAAACTCCCTTCCTTCAACAATGAATTCCTAATGGAAGACAAAGGCAAAATTCTTCCTGTATCACTCTTCATAACTGAATTTTTTATCTGCCTGTTAAGTATTTAAATATTTTTTTTTTCAGAACCAAGTAAGTTGTCTTTCAACACTAGAAAATGGCATTTTTTAAAAATATATATAATTTAAGCTTGGCAAATATTCACCTCTACTTTTTACTTTCTACCTGTGCCACAAAACTATCACTTGCTTTGCCTCTCATACAGTAGCCATAAAAGACAAACCATTATGAACGTGAGGTGCCATGAAAGCTGAAAAGACTTTTTGGAATTCCCTATTGATGAAAACCCACAGAATTGTCGTGACAGATTTAAAAAGGCAAGTTACTACAATTTAGTTTGTAATTTGACTGAAGCAGCTATGCAGAGTTTGGTTTAAACAAGTCATGCAATGGCTGAAAAGTATACCAGAATGACTTCTAATGCTAACTCTAAAACCTTAGTATTTGCTTACCACTAAAGCAACAACAGCATCTAAAAAGCTTTTTAAGAAGTTAATCTAAAAATGTATGTAAAATCAAGCTACTGGCTTTTTTGTCCCCCTGAATTCACACAAATCCTATTTTTAAGTTAAAAATGTTAATGGCCAATGAGATGTTAACTGTGAAACCTAATGAGAAAACTGTGAGTTAAAACAGCTGCTCTTGTCAACTGCTCATTTCTTCAATCCAGTTCCATACATTTATCTAACGGATAACAGAGATCATCTAGCACGTACATATTGTGCATAACCATTAAAGGAGGAAACTTTTAAAACATCAGGGTGTATATTGATTCCAAGTACAGCAATTGTATCTGCTGACCAATACCATAGATTACAGAGAAGCTAAGAACAGACTGCCTTCAAATACAGATACTGCAGTCATTGCTACAGCTTAAACAGGGAGCAAACCCCAGACTTCACACGGTAAGTGGAAGATATTAACCTTAGAACAGACAAAGTCAACTAGCGTGGCTTCTTCTTCACCAATATATTCTATTATTTTCTTGTTGATCCACGGTCTAATTCGACGTTCCATTAGTGTCTGGAAAAAAGAAAAAAAAACCCCAACCATAATTTCCATAAACTTTACTGTCTTGAAACAATACTGCCAGATAGCAAACAATACACTTGGCTACCAATGAGATAACCCCTAGTGATCCGGCATCTGCAAGTGTTTCTGACAGCCATTCAAACATATTTTTACAGGACCTTTTTCCCCCTTCCACAAAACTGCTAGACAATTTGTAGCAACAATTCAGAAGACACTAAACAAAAATAAGCAGGCATACTTCAGAGTAAGTATTGTAACAGACACGAAATACAGTATTCAAGTTTGACTCTATTAGATGCTGCTGTTGCAATCCACTGGCATCACAGGAACATTGTTTTTCTATTTAATTCCAAGGTTTGTTTGGAAAAAAATAAGCTTTTTTGTGAATGGTTAAATCAACTTACTGAATCCACAATTGACCAGTCAAGAGGATAAGCAAAGAGCTCTGGTTTTGCTGTGGGAATCTTCTCAATGAGACTCTTAATATGTTTACGTTTTTCTTCTGTATTGACACTGCCTTTGATATTGCTTTTATCTTCTTCTCCATAATCCAGGGGGACAAGTTTCCTTTTCCGGGGCACATCATCACTGTCTTCATCATCAAATTTATTGAAAACACTATCCACAGCAAGCTTCTTCCTTTTTACAGCATTGGGCTGATTAGGACTATTGCAGGCACCTACAACCAAAAAGACAGAATAACACATTCATAAACTGCAACGTAAGCTAGTTTGCCTTTCACACGTTTCTTGAGGAATATTGGTTTGTATGTTATATAAATGTCTGTGAACGCCTAGAATCAGCATTTCAACCTCAATGGCAAAAGAGGTAAAGATCTCAAACTGAGTTTGTTCAAGATTTTTGATTGAAGTTTGAAAAATAGGGTCTTTCTTCTCTGCATTGAAACCAATTAGCACACTCACTCAGGGAGGGCTACAGCATGAGTTCAAACTCTAGCAGAGGCAGAGCACAGAAGTGAAAGGTTGCAATGAATCTAGCTGTAGGAAAAGCGTTAATGAGTTAGCTTAATACCGTACAGTGTCTCTTCATTCAAGATGTAACACAGTGTGAGCTCAAACTGCAGCCCTGGTATAATTTAATCAAAATAATAAATAATAAATGCACAAACCTTCTGCAATATAAATATCCTTAGGTGTGCTGCTCAGAATTTTTTTTTTTAAAACACTACAAAATTGGTGAACTACTAAGGAACTCTACACTTGTGTTGCATCTGCAACTGTCATCAATTCATTGTGCTACTCTTAAGAGAAAGAAAAATAATCTAATTTTCAGTTTTCTTCATTTAAAAGGGTCTGTGTGAATAAACCTAAGAAGTATCTAGGGCTTAAATCTAACATATACTTACATCAATGAAAAGTACCAATGAGTTTTAAAAGAGATATTTAGAGATCTATTAAGGCAAAAAAGCATGTGGAAGTAACTAATCCCAGCTCAGAGCATTCCTAAAAAAATTAAGCCTTGAGGATGCCAAAACTTCCCTCCCTTTTTCCCCTCCAGATTTTGGAAGAAGTGAGATCTACAGAAGGTATCTTCTGGATAGGAGAAATCAAGCACAGTGTCTGGGTAACAACAACTTGATATAAGTATGTCAAAAATACAATGTATTTGGAAAACTGTGTGGCTACTCCGCTTGGCATTCTTTGCATTCTGATCCCATATGGAACATTAAGATAAAATGTAAACTTGCCCAATTTGAGGCTAAGTCCTATTTTGGGCCGATGCTCTTCTGGCTGCTGTTGATCAGGTGAATTTTCATGAGGGATAATAATGCCACAGGGAGATTCATCACCAGGTGTGTTAGGGGTTGCATTTCCACTAGCAGAGGAAACAGATGGGGCAGAACTGATGGGTCGTAAAGTTGGTTTAAGGCAGGGCTTTTGTTCAGGCTCCTCCTCCTCTTCCTCCGGCTCTTCTCTTTTTTCCTCTTTTTCTGCCTTTTCTTCCTCTTCCTCCTCAGATTCTGGCTCTTGTTTTATTTGTGGCTGCCTACGCCGCTCAGCCTCCTGCTCCATCTACAATGACACAGACAATTAGCAAAAAAGAAGCTTTCTCAAAAATAGCACTGTTTGAAAAGAATCTAAAAGACCCTCTGTTTCCTGAAGAAGTCTCTGTTAGTCAAGAACAAATACATGCAACTACTGCCATTATAGTCAGAAATACTGATTAATCCAAATTTGTTTTCTAACTCCATCCAAACATAGATCTAGAAAAGTTATTTTTTGTTTCCAGTGTTCTTACTGTTTATGTGGACTCCTTTTAAAGAAAAAGTGAACAGAGCAAATATTAACTATCACATCTCTTACACAATTTTGCTCAATACCACCAGAATACCAGGGACTTCCCCCCCCCCCGCCTTCTCTCTCCTGTCAGACCAACAGCTACTTACCCTCTGGAGTTCTGCATCTGGATCTGGGTGTCCTTCTGCCAGAAGACGCTGCCTAATTTCTTCTAATTCTTCCTTTTCCCTTTTTCTATCCCGTTCATCTGCTTCCATCTCTTTCTCCCTGTCTCGTAGCCTCTTCTGAAGAGCACTACCCCTACAAAAAATACGGATTTTGTACTTCAAAGAACATTCCAATGAGAAAGTTGTACCACAATACAAGAAATACCTTATACAGATGTACCTTCCACTAAATGAAAATAAGACTCAAAAACATCTAGTGTTCTCTATTTTTGTAATAGAAGAATCTAAGATACCAGTTCCCTACATTACTAAGCAGAATTTACCCCATTACATTAAACAGATGTAGAGAATGTGACTGCTGATCTTAGAAAAAAAGAATCAAATTATCTTACAGGTTTTTATTTGACAAGAACCAGTTCTGCTAAATTAGTCTGATGCAAGTTTTAGTCCCATGCTGCTGAAGGGCCTTCCCCATCCTTTACAGAGTTAACAAGCTTATTCTTTGTACAATTTACAGCTTGCTTGTAGTGAATTTTTTAGAGACATTCTGGATGCCTTCTTTCTGCCTCCATCACCTTATTTTGGCATTACACTGACCTCTGCTCCAACTCACCCACAAGTTAAATGATAGGAAGGAGTAGCTACTCCCAAGCTTTAACAAGTAGCAGTAAGGCATTCCCCTTTTCCCTCTGGCACTTACCAGGTGACACTGAAATAGTTTAGATAATTATATGACCCTTACACTGCCACATAATCATTCAACTATAAATTCCGTAAGGCTCTGCCAACAAATTCCACAACTGCATTAAAACTAACAACGAAGATTTTATTGTTAGGAATCAGTATGAAGACATACCTGTAGTATTTTGGATCATCTCTGTCATCATCATAATCTTCTAAGAATTCTTTTAACCGTTTGGCTTCTTTTGCCTGCAAGAAATTGAAACATAAGTAATGTTACAAAAGGATTCCTGGTTTTCCTTCCTAGAGTTTAAAATTTAGTAATGTCATTAGTAAGTTAATTTAATATCTACTATGCCTCAAAGTAAGAGTACAGAGTTTTCCATACAGAAAATTGAAAGGGTTTGGAATTGCATCACCTTCCAGGGACCAGTCAACTTGCTCTATGTTCAATAGCAGATAGTACATCCATTAGGTCCACTGAAATCATGTCTGATTAGCAGACTACTGTTCCGGTATTAGCATTTCAAAGGGTTTTA